TTAATTTTATTTTATATTTAAAAACTAAAATTAAAAGTATAATTAATAAAAATTTAAATTAAAAAAATTAATTAACTTTAGTTGAATCATTTCAGAGTTGACCCAAACTCTGACTCAACTTTGTTAGGTCTAGGTAATTTTGGTTTGAATTATATTTGATTATAAATTAATACTTTAGAGGTTTAAACTCATGACCTTACTTATAGCGAATAGGTTAGATCAGATTTTTGGATTGAATCCAATTTTATCAAGTCTAATAAAAGTGAAGAGTTGTGTTCTTGACACGGTGGCAATATCATGATAGCGACACGGTGGCAATATCATGATAGGAAGGAATTATTACGTTGGTGCTGACATGGTAATGGGTAATGGAATTTTAATGAGCATGTGGCACTGTAATTTATTTTGGGTTTTTTCATTTAAACTGAAAAGATGAGGGGTTAAAATTTTCATATTATAAGTTGAGAGACTAATACTCTCATAGTTAGTATTTAGTAAGATAAAGAGTTAAAACTTTCATATTATATGTTGAGTGACTTATACTCTTATAATCAGTCAGGTGGAAGGTTGATTAAGGATTTTTGCCTTTCTTTTTCTTTTTTTTCTTTTTTTTCTTTTTTTTTTTTCAAAATTTTAATAAAGGCCTGATTGTGAGGGAATAGGCCCAGAAAATTAGAAGGCCCAAAGGAGTAGAAAGGCCCAGCCTTGTTAACAAAATTCCCATACTGCCGAGTACAAGGAAAAAGCTGTGAGCTTGATTTTTTGACACGACAATTATTTCTTGATTTTCCTGGCGCTTTCCACTATCATCCCAGCCAACGGAATAGCACAAAGGTTCAGACAACGTCAATTCTCAGTTTTGTTTCAAGAGCCTCGTTTTTCAATTTAATTCGAAGTTTGATTTGAATTGTATGCTGAATTGTGATTTGCTGTTATGTGTTCAACGTAATGTCTGGGAAATAGGATGGCTCGGCTAAAGCCTATAAATTTTGGGTATAATTTGTTAATTTGATGCTGGGGTAATCGGGTTTTTGCTAAGTTGTGCTGTTGTGATGTTAGATAAACTGGTTAGGCCAAGTGGGTTTCTTAATTTGCATGATTTACTTAATTTAAATATGCCCACAAGCAGTTTTTGATTATTGTAATTTCAGTTTGCTTTCAATCACTAGATTTTCAACATTAGTGACGGTTTGTAAATTCATTGGCTTCAAAAGAAAGAAACTTTTCTGCTAATAGATTTAAAGCCATATTTACTATGTGTTTCTTTTTGTTTTAG